CCTCTAAAATATTATTGTAATCATATTTTGATAGATTAACATACGTATTTTCTTTTCTTATTTCAATGACTATTCACAAAATATTTGAAGTGCTCCTCTCGAGTAAGTCATAAATTAAGTTTTATTGACGGCGAGTCGAACGTGAGAAACACAGTCCCGACCTACTGGCAATGTAAGCTACCCTTTTTTTGTTCGCAAGCAATCGACGGGTTAGGACAACAGATAGAGTGACAACTTGTTAAGTGATATAGGAAGTCGAAGGAAGCAGGTGGATCAAGTCCATGTTTCGTAGCATCCCTTGGGGAAGGCCTATGTTCAGCAGAGAACTTGTGATGAACTGTAATGTTGATGATGATAATGAAATTATATAAAATAAAATTAAATAAATAAAGAGTTTTTAAAATATTTAAAATTTCTAAAGATCAAATTCAGTTTGGTTTCTCAATCCAAAAAAAACATCGAAACGGCATACAGTATAATTAGTATGTTAATATGGAGTTGTGAATGACATATCTACGTAAATTGATAAAAAAATACGTGTGGCATTCGGGGACTGCCGCGGTAAAGCTATTGCATAGCATTTTTATCAACTTATGCAATTATAATTATTTATTTATTTTATTTATGTATTTTTTTTTTGTTTTCTTTTTCTTTGATATTGATTCAAGTTACAGTTATTGAGCGTGGTGACCGATAAGAAAACAATTTTTTTTATATGATAAATGAAAAGTTAATATTGTTTAAAATATTTTTATTATCTTACAATAGATGTAGGTTATTCAGGAATTTTTGTCATTGAAACTATAGGTTTATGGTAATTAACGAGTTCTTCCGACAAACGATAATTTTCTATAAAGTCTGTGTTTATTAAATACTCTAAATTCACGAAAGTTGCTAGGATGACGACGACTCATATAAATCCAAAGAATATGCTTCTTGCAATAAAATATTTTATTGTTTAAAATATTTTTATTATCTTACAATACATGCAACTAGTCTACACGCATACGTCTAATAACACGCACACAAACACCGTGCCGAAGTCTGCCGAACTTAAACAACCTTAGACGATGTTAGGTTTTCGGGTCTTAGGTTTTTTCGTTACGGAATTTCTTGATTCGGTCGCCGCGCTCAAAGCCCGTGATAAAAGCAATATATTAAAAATTGAATTATTTCATATATTTTGCATGCCTTCTGGTAAAATATGGTGGAATTTGCACTATATATTTGTCACCACATTCTGTTTTACCCACATTTGCAAAATTAATAAATTTATTCATTAATTTATTCATTCAGAGTATGTTAACAGAGTATATAGGACATTATTATATATTATTGTATCTCATCCATTCCATTCATTCATACATTCCAGCTTTTAAAAGTCCCCTGCTAAACACAGGCCTCTCACATGGATTGCCTCATAGGGATTTGGTCAAATTAGCCGCGCTTGAAAAGCGAGTTGTCTTTAAGTTGAGATGAAGAAGATGCTGCTTTGCTTTGCCATCTCTTGCTTCAGTTTCCCTCTCTCTCTTACAACGCCTATAGGAGGATATGGGATAGTGGATATTCTTACACCGTCACTACACGGTTGATGTTTGTAATTCGTTTACGTAATATTCATGAATTCTATGTCATTTTTATTGTAAGCTTTGTGTATATGACGATTCATTAAGTTCTTCCTTCTTCTTCTTCTTTACAGTATTAAAATTCCAATGATGTACAAAGACCTCTCTCATATATTACTCTATAACATTCACTCTATCAGCGCCAGTGACTAATCGCTCACAAAGCCCTCTCAAAAATGATAAGGATACCTTGTACCCAGCAGTAGGACGTATATATGTTGTATTTTTAAATAGAAAAGTATATACTTAGCGGTTTGTCCACTGATTTCAATCCCTTGAACACAGTCCTGCTCAAGTCTGCCACGTGCCACAGCGTCGACTGTTACACGACCTGTCGCTGTCATGACATCGCGGAAATTCAACGCTGAACAATGTACCTAAAATGAGAGACAGATTTCTAAATAAAACACTTTACACTCACACTAGGAACCGCCCCGTACAGTTCCGTCGTAAGACGACTAAGAATAAGAAACTCCAGCTGTGAATCCGATTGCCATGTGTTGCAATTAAGGCAAATATCTTTTGTGAGGCAATCTAAGGTTTAATGGGCGGTAATGGTAAGAATTGCTCGTGTATTGTAAAAACAAACTGAACACGGACAATGCACTGTGCACTGGAACAATTATATGTAGGCCATACAAACTTGTTCCGTGCGTGATACAAACCCGGGACTCAGTAGCACCGCAGAAAATGCTTGCGAACCGTACAACCAAAATGACAAGTAGGTAACAATTCAATTTTTATCATTATTCTTTCACTATTGCATATCAAAATTCCACTGCTGATTTACAGCCTTCGCCATAAATTGCCTCATGGAAAATACCATGCTTCGTATGCGGATTGGTAGCTAAGGTTTATAACTTTAACTTGTAATCGAAAGGATGCTTGTGCTCATCTCTGGTTTGATTTCTCTATTCTCTATTATGAGCAGCCACTGCAAGGTGACTTTTTGGGTCACATAAAGTAAAAAATCTTTCAAAGTCGTTTTTTTTAATTTGCCTTTTTACAACATACGAGTACTAATGATTAATAAGCAAGGAGCAAACGCACTGGCCTATAAAAGAAAAATTGTATTTTATTTTATAGAAATTAGTATTTTATAGAATAAGATTGACAAACGAGCACACAGTCCACCTAATGGTAAGTGGATGCTGTGGCCTATAGACATCCAATTTATTTTTCGATTAAGAATCAAAATGCAGATGCGTTGTCATCCCTGAGGCCTAAGATGGAATGCTCCATTTCCAATAAAAAAGGTTCTTCTGTTCTCTACACTCACCAAACGAAACACAGCAGTATGTGCAGCATTAAGCTGCTATTTTACGGTATTCTGTGAGAGTATAGTCCTACCATAATATAGCTGCATAGAGACTACCACGTACGAACAAAATAAAATTCTGAATTTGGGGTTCGAAATTTAGTATAAAAGTAAAGTGAAGTTACAGATTACATACGTCCCACTACTGGGCACAGGCCTCCTATCATTTCTGAGAGGGTTTTAGGACAAGGAAGTGTCCGCCGCGCTGCCCTAATGCGTGTTGGCGAACTTCACATGTCCGTGAAATATTTTTTTCTTATTCCTCAGACATTCAGGTTTTCTCACGATTTTTTCCTTCACCGCCGAGCACGTGGTAAATCAGCACTTAAAATTACAATAACAATTTCATTGGTGCTGGCGGGGATCGAACCCGAGTTACTTAACGGTTAGTTCTGTTATATTTACAGCGAGCGTTAACCATGTGAGCTATCAATATAATTATTAGAAACTTTGTATAATTATTAGAAATTTAGTATACTTGGATGGATATCCTACCATCACTCGGCCTTCAAAACTTCGTTTTAGACTGGAGAATGCACTACGTGTGAGGTGAGGTTAACATTTAGAGGAAAAGTTGCACACGTTATAGTGGTAGTTTATTCTTCTTCTAAAAAGATGGAGCTTCCCAATTTGAGCATTTGTCTTTTTTGGATGTAAGTTACGCAATCTTTGTCAATTGTGAACCGATTTTAATGATGTATTTTTATTAAATAGGTTATTTTTCGGGGAATAAAATTCCAGACCTAAGAGTGGCAAAATAAGAAGCTGTGAATGTAACTGTTTAGACAACATTAAGATTTTGATATTCTTTAGTCCACTCATCATCACTGTTACAGTCCTTCACAAGTCCACTGCAGAACGTAGGAATCCCCCTAGTATACTATATAAGGGTTAAAAAATGTTAAAGCCAACTCCAAATAACTAAAAAGAATAAAATAATTTCACATTATGTAGTCCAGGCTTTAGTTCTTCTATACCACATGTCTTTTAAAGAGCTAATGATGACGATTATATGATGACGATGACTATTAGTGCACTGGAAAATGTCGTAAACATAACGCTAAACAAATATTGTACTAGTAGATTGACGCAGCTTCTTGTTGAGCTTTTTTTTGTTTTATAGAAAGCTTTTTTTGTTTTGTAGAAGAGGGAGCAAACGAGCATGCGGCACACCTGATGGTAAGTCACCCATGAACAACCGCAACACCAGGGGAATTGCATGTGCGTTTCCGACCTTTTAGAGAGGAGTAAGCTCTTTTCTTGAAGGTCCCTAATTCGTATTGTCCGGAAAAATCGCCGATGGTAAACAATTTCTCAGAGAGATTGTACGAGGAAATAAAATCCTAATAAAACACACAGTGGTGGATCGCCAAGCATCAAGATGGTGAGGATGGTATCATGATGATGGTAGAACTCTAAACATTTTACTCAAAAGTCTCCCTATATCGATATAGGCCTATGTCCAGTACTAGTCTTTGACAGACTTATGAAGAAGAAAAAAGAGGATGTATAAGATATAGTGACCACTGGTGAGTTTTCGTATCGAATTGACCAAGTACCTTTTCAGTTCTTCTAAGCAGATTACAAGATCTTTCCAACATTTTCAGTATTGCCCCTACTTATGTGCATATTAGACTTACTTACGTGCGTATTAAAGTCATGAGAACTGAGAACCGCTTTTTTCTGGTGACTAGCAATTTTTTCCTGTATTTCTCATAGATAAAACATATTTGGTGACTGCTTTTGGATTCTTATTGACTTTGACAGCGGCAGAATTTCAGTGCTGTGGTTATACCGCGACACAATTCTGAGTCGGATGCATATTTGTTGCTGCATTAGTTTTGATGTAATATATATATATATATATATATATATATATATATATATATATATATATATATATATATATGTGTGTGTGTGTGTGTGTGTGTGTGTGTGTGTGTGTGTTGCAAGTATGTATTATGCAGCTTCAAATAAAGATGTTTCTTTCTTTTTTATTGCATCTTCTTCTTGACCCGTTGTACTATATTATATTATTGATATTACAGGTTACTTACATTAACCAATGACACATTATCTTGTTTACTGGATAGCTTCATTCCAAGAGGTCCCTCAAACCAACGAAGTGATGATAGATCACCAATATTCTGAACATTTACATATGCGTGAGGAACTGGATAAGTTTTTTCCAGTCCTATTAAAGGTACGTGGCGATAGGTACCCCATTGTCCCTGTAAAAAAACACAAACAAACAACACAAAAAAACATTATTAATATTGTTTCTATTTATTTCAAAATTAAAAATAATTAATTAGTAATTTCATATCGAATTAGTCAGCTGAAGTTGCAATGATCCGGCCATATAGCTTGAAGAACCGGCAACCGATGAAGCAGAAGGGTTCTCGAGTGGCAGCTCGTACCGGTAAGTGAAGTGTAGGGTGGCCCCCCATTAGATGGAGTGACGACCTGGTAAGATATGTAGAAAGTTGATGGATGCTCATTACCATGCTTAGCAGTATTCCTTTGGGGAGTCCTATATTCAGCAGTGGGCTTGTGAAGGGATGTAATGATAATGAAAAAAAAAATTAAAACATTCTATAGCAAAAACAACAAAACTCACGTTTTTCAACACATTCATAGCTAGATCGTTGCTCAATTGTTTTTTATAAAATTCTATATTTGGATTAAAATCCGGTGTTGAATCATCAGCAATCAGATAGCTTTGTATCAAATCACCCCCTGCTTCCCGTCTTAAACAGTTCACCAGTCCCAGGATTCCATTGTATATTTCACTTTGTGAGTAAAGTACAACTTTTTCATTAGAATCAATACATTCCTTTACTTTGTCGATCCAAGAATAATTTTCATCTTCCATTTCAATACGTATACATTTTCCAATGCTAATATTAAACTTAGGTCTGATTAAAACTAAAACTTCCGTGTTTATTTCATATGCTGACACAATATTGTAATTATAAAGATTTGTATTCACGTCCGGAAAGACTGCTTCACGACTTAAAATAAATCCTTTTCCTTTAAGCATCGTAGCATATTGATCAAGCACCTGTTTGAAAGTTTAGTATCTATATTACGTGTACACATTATTCTCAAATTTTTGTTTCAGAGTTTATAAGTAATAATGATTGATGTGTTTTTTCAATATACCACGTTTTAAAACGGGGTAAAAAGTTTTTTTCTAATCTTACATTGTTATCTGACATTGTGTTTTACATGTAATTTCAAATCTGTAGCTCATATGTACTTAATTCGACCCAAACAGTTAAACACGAAAGCAAGTTAATAAAAATGTGGTACTAAAATAAAAACTCTTTAGTAATTCTCGCCACTTTTTCTTGTACATGAACTTTAGTTACTGACATTTTGCACCAGAACGTGATTAAAACGAATTTTTATGATAATTTTAATAATAAGATAGGAAACAACGAACTTACTTCAGTCCTTTGAATTAAGTTAGCACCAACACACAGTGTTGCATTGTCAGCCGCCTCTTTCTTTTTTTCAATTTTTACTCTCGGAGACAGTTCGATAGATTCATTTGATATGATAATCAATTCGGATTGTAAAAGAGGCTGAGTATCAAGACAGTTAGCTACAACCTCGATTATTGGAGTATATTTTCGCTTAGAATATTCTTCATCAACTATTTCAACGCATTTAATTTTAAAAGTTTGAACATTTTCATGGATGAGTTGCGTATGCACATTAATGGCTTCTTGTAGCTGCAAATTTAAATTAGTTGAATATGGATTGATCGCTATATTTGTAACGGCAAATAAATTAATTATAAGAATACCTGCAAAATATGACGTCCAAAATTTGGCACAAATTTGTATGATTCTAAAATAGGCGCACCTACAGTAGAAGGTTTTTTCAGTACTGGTGTCATTTGGAGACCTGTTAAATCTACGCCGCCAGATCTGAAAGAATACGTACTGTCAAGGTATGGTCAAGGTATACAAGGTATACCATATTATATAATGTTTTTAATTTTTAGGTCGCTGTTTATAGGTAGATTTCTGGATCTCGACAACAGCTCTACCTACTGAGTCCAATTTTGAATATAAGCCATCAAGGGACTCACTCAAATACAAAAAGTTTCGAGTTTAAGCGAGACTAACCGGACAGCAATAATTGATTTTTATATATAGAGATGGCATAATACAACATTTTGTTACCATTTATTTTAAATAATGTATCGTCACGTACGAAATTAATACACTTTTTTCAAATGGATAAATGTTTGGTATATACTATATACACATGTCGTACCTAGGTGGATTGAAAAGTACTCGGCCTAATACAGATCCATTCAATTCTAAAAATCAAATCTACTCACATTATTTAGTTCAGTTCAGACTAGTTCATTGTGTGAAGTTCGAAACGTGTGCGATAATTAGTTGTGATTTTATAAATTTATTAACAAAGTAATCGGACATAATTTCCGCGAATGGAGCAAATCGAGCAGCGTGCCGTCAGTAAGTACCTCCATAAGAAGGGGCTATCATCAAAAGCCATCCATGATGACATGGTCAGTACATTAAGCGATTGTGCTCTGTCATATTCATCCGTCAAAAAATGGATAGCAGAATTTAAGAGTGGTAGAGAGAGTGTGAAAGATGAACCCCGCTCTGGAAGGCCTTCGACGTCAACTACTGACGAAAATATTAAAAAAGTACTTGATTTAATAATGGGAGACCGCAGATTAAAAATTAGAGAGATAGCCGAGATTATAGGCATCTCTTATGAATGAACTCAAAACATCATTGTCAACGAGTTGGGTTTCCACAAGGTGTCTGCGAGGTGGGTTCCGCGACTGCTTTCAGTTGAACAAAAAAAGGACGCAATTGACTATTTCACGCGACTGTTTGGAGTTATTTGAAGCCGATGCAGATGATTTTTTGAATCGTTTTGTTACTATGGACGAAACATGGGTTCATTACTGTACACCGGAAACAAAACAACAATCAAAACAGTAGAGAAGACCTGGTTCACCACCCTCTAAAAAGGCTAAGTCGATTTTGTCGGCAAATAAGGTGATGGCTTCAGTATTCTGGGACTCGAAAGGTGTGATTATGATTGATTATCTTGAAAGGGGTCAGACTATAAACTCTGATTACTACTGCACCTTACTACGTCGTTTACGAGAGGAAATAAAAGAAAAACGTCGAGGAATGCTCAGAAGAAAAGTCCTGTTTCATCAAGATAACGCCCGTGTTCACACGTCAGTACAGTCAATGGCTGAAATTCACGACTGTGGCTTTGAACTGTTACCGTATCCGCCGTATTCACCTGATCTGGCACTATCAAACTTCTTTCTGTTCCCTAACCTAAAAAAGCACTTGGGAGGTCAAAGATTTTCGACAAACGACGAGGTCAAAGCAGCTGTAGACGCATATTTTGACTCTAAGGAAGAATCATTTTTTTTCAACGGTCTAAATGCTTGGAAGGGGAGGTGGCAAAAGTTTATTGGACTTGATGGTGATTATGTAGAAAAATAAAAATATAACTGATTTGGTATGTGTTTATTTTCTTGGTTAGGCCGAGTACTTTTCAATCCACCCTCGTACATAAACATTTCGTAATAGCTTATTATACCATTCGGTAGCTTAATATAATTATTACCACAATTTCGTAATATGAACATAGTAATATATGTACATACGTGGTAGAGCCACGCTGCAGCTATATTACAGTTGTAGCACGAATGGGTCCGCGCGACCGGGGTAAGGCCACGCTCTCACAGAATACCAGCTTGGAATATCAGTTAAATTCTGCAGTTTTTCGTTTTGTACGTGTATACGTGGCATATCATCTTAGTCCTCAGGGGACGGGCAACACATCTGAATTTTGATTAATGGAGGAATGATTTAGATTTCTATGGACCACAGCATCCACTTACCATCAGGTGGACTATGTGCTCGTTTGTCAAGCTTATTCTATAAAAAAGGAAAGTGGAATCAAGGTAAAATATTAATAGGCAATTTTCTTTTAGATAGCTTTTTTGCTATTTGTTTAATATTGAACGGTAGTTGCTGATTTTTTTTAATTCACTTAGTGTGTTTAAAGAAAAGCTTACATTATCTCTATAACTATATTTGGTACAGGCAAAAATTTGATTAAAGGAGAGTTAAGTAATCTTTATAACTATTTTGCAAATAATTTAAATAATACCTTGTAATATTCATATCGCGATCGAAGCGTACGTCAATAGACTGTTCTCTTGACATATCAGAGTTTAGTTTTGCAACAGTATCATAGTGCATTTCCACGTCAATAGACAGTTTTTTGATGAACGTTGGAAGATAGAGATCGCGACTATCGTAAGCGATAATGTTCATTTGAAGCATGTAGTCCAGGAAAACTACCCAGTTGTTGTTCCATATGACATGACCGTGAGTACTTTCAACATTGCAGTCCAGAACGCCACGGAAAAGACCACTGAAAAAAATTCAGTTTTGTTAACGTATGAAATGATAACTGTGTGTATTGTAAATTTGAAAGCAATGAGGGTATTAGCCGTCTTCTTGCGCTCACCAGATGTCGCTTGTTAGGGTACAATAAAATTGAGAAGTTACATTTTCAATAAAAGTTAAAGTTATAGTTTTATACAGAACATCTGTCTCTTTTTGATGTTTCCACTTTTAGGAATATCCGTGGTTTGATGATTCTCTCTTACTATAATTAACACATAAGAGCCCTTACGTTTTTTTATATAATTTTTATTTTATTTTATTTTATTTTATTTGGAACACCAACAGCATATAAACGTTACATGAATACAAATTGGACATTTCGACAAAGCCATTTACAGGTATTCGCATATGGTATAAAACAATTATTAATCCCCCCCCCCCCATAAATAAAGAGTATGTACTTTTTAATCACTTTTTGGCATTGAAAAGATACACATTATCGTAAAAGCTGGAAATATTTTGATATTATATTCAATGAACTCGAAAAGGTACCACTTATTATGTCAACTTTTTTATTAGTGTAATGTTCTTGTCGTGAGAATCTTCCGAGAATTGGTTTGCTACGACGGCGCTCGGTCGACGTAATTTTTGCGCTAAAATATATAAAATTCAAACAAGGTTTTTAAAGGCCTAAAAATTTTTTGACATTTTGGCTATTAATTTTTATTAGTCTAATTGTCCACAAGCGACAGTTTATAATTGGTTTAGGATTAACTACCCGCCGCGTTTTTAGCACCACGCAAACGTAGTATCGCAATGTCAACCAGGACACCCAAGCTTTTTTACTCAAAAATTGTGTCTATCTTACTTCACTGATCATGAGAATATCCTAGCATATATTAATTTAAACTGTTTAAAAAAAAAACAAGAAAAATTACATGACAAGAAGCTTGAAAGCAACGAAAGCGCACTGACTACTTCGAGTTTCTAAACTGTTGAGGTCTCTTTAAAGAATACCATACGAAGTATTTTCCAAATGTTTATACGTATAGAAAATTGTATAGGTGCTCAAGGTAAGTACTGCGAAATTTTCGGTACTAATCATGAATATTAAATATTATAATTTTTGGTAGGAGATATATTTACATAATTTTTGATAATTTTTGATCTGGCGGGGGGGGGGATAAGTAGGGATGCTAGATATGATAAAGATATAGAACGACGAGCGAACGCATAAAATAGAGTAAATGGGGCTCTACACTCTATTGTGGGAAGTCATAATGATACATTATATATAATATATATATTACAAGGTAATATTAAAAAAAGGTACGTATGGCAATTCACAGTGCTGTATTAGTCCCTACTTTAACGTATGGTAGCCAAAGTTGGGTGCGGCAGAAGAAGCCCGAAAGTAGAATAAACGCAGTAGAAATGCTGTCGTTAAGGATTATGTAAAGGCCTTAATCTGAGTGACAGGGTGAGAAATTGTGTGATAACAGAAGAGGGTGGTTTGCAAAATGATGGTGTGATCAGGATTAAGAATGGAATCTTTGGTGGTTTGGTCATGTAGAAAGAATTAATGAGGAAGGAGTGATAAAGCAAATTTATGTTGCAGAAGCGAATGGAAGAGTCAGAAAAGGACCAAATTGGTGATGTACTTGAAATGGGCGAAATTAAGGGTACCCTTAACCGACGTACATATATGGATGGGGAGGAGGCGAGAGAGGTGTGTCAGAATCGTACCTAATGAAAGTCTGTAGTCTCTGCCTTCCCCTCTGCGTGACAGGCGTGAGTGTATTATGTCATGTTTTTTTATTTTTTTATAATTTTTAGTGCATTGTAAATAATCCTCGTACCATGCATCCAAACCAAACGGTTTGTTTTGTAATCCGTACAGAAAAGAGTGGAATAATTTTCCAATGTCGGTCTTTCAATCCGATATCAATATGGATGTCTTCAAGGCCAGATTAAATAGTTGGTAATTTTATCAAACTAAGTCAGTGCACTTTACCATCTTCAAATCTACCACGAACTAAAATCTGGTGGGATAGTGGTCAAGTACGAGCTAATAATAAGTGAAATAATGCAATTAACTATTCCAATACGGCCGATATGAAGCCAACGTGAAGCGAAAGTAATATTTTAATCATTCGGTATTACTTGTGTTGATATCCTCGAAGTCTCAATTCCTTGTAGAAATCCTTGGTTGACAATCGGAGAAGGTTACTGTCTTCAACTTCAGATACTGGAGGGAGTTCCACGAAATCTTGGCCTACATTTTGCTTGGCGTAAATACGACCTGTTGCCACTGTATTTGCATTTTCTGAAAGCTGTAATTCAAAGATTAGTGTCATTATTAGATTGCGAAGTGATGGCGGGTTAAGAGAAATCATCACCAAATTTCATCTCGAAGTGTCACATATTCCTAATTATCCCAACCATAACATCAGATTTGATATACCTTAAAACCTCACAAAATAGCACCGATCCCTATCGAAAATGAGTCGTGAAGCTAATAAAATTAAAAACATCCTAGTTTCAATAGAAAAGATGAATTAGATGGCACCTACTATATTTGGGATCGCATAATTAATTACATTATATCTAAACTTATGTACACTACTGCAAGACTTAAAGGTACTGTAAGCTCGTTTTATGAAAATCCCAATAATTATTATTTAAAAGTTAAAAATAGCCTCCATTTACTACGATATCTGAACGTCAAACACGTCAGTCCATAAGTGACCATGGGTGATGTAAATGTTCCAAAACGTCACCCATTAAAAATAATTTAAACCCCAAAAAATTAGTAAAATTGGTTTCTTTCAACACTGAAATCAAATCGTATTCACCTCGAATTCACCGCTTTCCTTATGAATGGTAATGATGAATTCCAGATTTCCTTGCTTAGGGATGGTAGTTGCCCTGTGCAATCGTATATCCTCGAATACAACCGAAAGCTCACCATACAACTTGCCTTGCATCAAAGCGAAAGTCTCCCATACTAATATTAAATAACCCGTACCAGGGTATAATAAACGACCTGTAATTTGGATGAAAATTAGATAATATTTACTTTGTTTAGAATAAAGGTAACAAGCGAGCACACAATCCACCTGTTGGTGTGTGGATGTTGTGGCCCATAGAAATCTATACTCGTTTATGAATGAAAATTCAGATGCGTTGACAGTCCTGAGGATTAAAATGGAATGTCTCATATCCAGTCAAAGGGGTCTCTGGTTCACTACACTCATCAAACGAAACACAGCAGTATTAAACTGCTTATTAACGCTGGTATTCTGTGAGAGCGTGGTCCTTCCTCGGCAGAGTCGACCCATTCGTGCTACAATCATAATATATAGCTACAACGTGGCTCTACCACGTATGAATCTTAAAACTTGATACATTATTATGAAATGAAGTAAAATAATAACTCGCCCTTTTGTCATCCCTCCACTTGATGTTTAGTGACAAACAAACTTACAATCCGCCTGAGAAATATTGTGGAATGCCTCACAGCCTTATATTAACTCTCTATACCCTAATGATTCCTTAAATTTACGCGAACACTACAGCATCTTTATACAGCATCTCCACAACCTTCACACTCCAACACAGCAGTACAAGCACTGCTATTGGACGGCAGAAATAGAAAAGCATATGATAACTACTCCTACGCGGAGGAATACTAACATCTAGTAATTTCCTTGGTCACTTCAGTTTTATTGAAGAAAATATATAGATATTGTACTTCCCATAGAATACTATAATACAAAATAGAATGGCTGTCAACCTTATATTGTACGAGGATCAGTGTGGCCGGGAGCACACATACAAGCAATTACGTCGTATTATCACTACTACAAAACCGATTCACTGTGTTGACACACTGGGCAAATTTACAGTTTAAACTTTTGATTAATGTTTTTGACACATCAATATTTCTTTATTTTTGTTTTTAATATTCACAAAATATAAATAGTTGTTATTTTGACACGTAATTGTTGCACAATTCGCCATTTTTTTAAATAATTTGCATGCTTGACACGAAGATTGGAAAAGATTGATTGTGTTGACATTTATAGGTGTGAATTGACATGTTAGTGACATGTTAGTGGCTACACGGGCTCCACCCACTCCCCCGTTCTATTATGTATGTATTATAGTATTCTATGGTACTTCCTTTCATGCACGCCATACTCATAATCATATCTTTTTAAAATTTAAGACCTTAACTTTTAAATCTTTTACTTGCTAAAAGAACTGTCTATAAATTATTTATCTTAAGACAAAATTTACCGTCTATACAGTGGCCAGTTATATATTCTTTATCTTCATCAGTAATACATATATTTACTGTTCTTTCACCTGTCTTCAATTTTTTCTGAGTTTTATATGACACGCATTCCCTGCAAGTAAGAATGGAAACTAAAGCTTGATAATTTTTGTTACAGATTTTGCAGGTAATAATAGCTTTGTACTTTTTACCGCGTTCATAGTAGTATTGATTAAAAATTTTAGCTTCGTTTAAAATAAAATAGGCAAGAAGAATTTAATTTATTTTTATACTAGTGTTGATAACATAAATTTTTTATTAGTTTTTACACGTGATCAGAATAATTTACTATGTTATCTGTAAATTTGTTCTGAATTTTCATTACATTTTAAAGTTTGTATATTTGTAGAAAGGCGCTTCTGACATAAGAACATGCAATGATCTTTGAACATTTAACACACAGCAATTATATCCATAGCAATTCATAACAGCTTAAATTGCTCTAAAGTATTTTGTGTAAATACATCGCAACCTGCATGGTAGCCGCTTCAAATGGATTTTATTTAAACAATCCTTATGTATTCAATGTGTTAGATAATATATAAAATTAGGTTCCATACATCCAAGGAGGTATGTGTAAAAACTTCAAACTTTTTCTTACCAATTCTCTCTGTGCTCCCATTCTACTAGATGCGACAGCATCGGGGTCTCTTGTGAAACAGGAAATTTAATTTCTGGGTAGAGATTTGCTAAATTTAGGTTCAAGCCAGCTTCGTATAGTCTGTTAAATTAAACATATAAAAGTATTATAATTAATATAGGTTTTCACACAAGAAACAATTTAAAATCTGATACCATTGATCCGTTTCCTACTGGCAGTTTAGAGATGGCAGTAACAAAACAACTGCATACATAGTAATAGATTTTGAATTGTAATCATAGCCCATGTTAATATTTCATAATACACATATTTATGAATTTCCAAATCAGCTCAAATACCAAATATAAAAAAGTTTTGAGCAGTAATAAGAACAAAATTTAAAAATGAAGCATCTGATACTGTGGTAAATAATCCTTCTTATTTGACAACGTCTGACCGCCTAGTGGCCTAGTTAGTCTGGTGGTCGTGTACGCGTCTGCTGATCATGTGGTACCGGTTTGGGATAAAACAAAAACATTTAAAAACAAAACTTTCTCTTAAGAAAATTAAACCAAGTAAAGTCTCACAAATTCCACTCATTTTTCTTTTCCTTTTAAAACTTTACCTACACACTAATATTTTTTCCTGTATCGCGGAGGCAGTTCACATACATAAATAGCACAAGGACAAACATCCAGACCAGTAACAATTACTTGTAGGCCATACAAATACTCGCTCCGTGCGGGATTCAAACCCTATACTTAAACTTATATGCTGTAATTGAAATGAAATGAAATGAAATTTATTAACATACATTAGATTACTGTTACAATTATTTTTAAGCTCTGAAGCCTGCGTTAGTAAAATCTCTGCTACAGGCCTCAGACATCCCCATCTATTTATTTATATATTATTATCTAAGTATTATAATGTATATTACTATTATAAAGAAATTTGTTTCTTAAAAAAAATAAAATGAAAATTAAAAAAGTGATAATACGGTACTAATTCTAATGTAAGGCCAAATTGCGCGTGCGCGCGCGCGCGCGCGCGTGTGTGTGTGTGTGTGCCCTGTAAATATCTGCTGGTTGACTATATACAACGAATTAAAACGACGTTAGTTCACGTAAGTTACGTGACCTAACGTTAATATATTACGCCATTCCTATTCATTTTTATAGTTATCTTTCAAATTTGCCGACTGTAGAAAGTGAACTAGACTAACCCTGTTGCAATCAACTTTAAATAAAAAAACCGGTAAATGAATGCAACACTGAATTTCATACCCTTTGGAACGGTACTGTACTGCTGTGGTACCACAAATTTACAAAAATAAGTAACAAGGTGGCATCAACCCAAACAGATATACGTGGTATACAGTAGCATAGTAGTACAGTAACACGAATGGCACGCGACCACGCGTTCACAGAATACCGGACCGGAGACACTTTTTACTGGAAACGAGGCATTCCATCTTAAGCCTCACGGGTGACAACGCATCTGCATTTTGGTTCGTAATCGAGAATAGATGTAGGTGTCTATGGGCCGCAGCAACCATTTACCATCAGGTGGACTGTGTAAAAAAAAAGATATCTAGTAGAAGAAAATGAGCCCTACCATTTTATGTGACGAATTCTTTTCCGCTATATAGGATAAAATGAAATTTGCATACCTTCCTAATGCAATAAGTAAAATTTGGACGTTATCCTTAGAATCCATTTGAGATATTTCGACCGCGAGTAAATCTTTGTATGATTGCTTGAGAGATTTACATAGAACTCCATGAGGTGCTATTTCTAATACTATAGCATTTTCTTCTATCAACTTCGTTGTTTCTTCGAATAGAACTGGATTCTGTTGTACAAAATCTTCTATTATTTTTTGGTAAGAAGAATATTCATAAGAAAAATCAGAGAGAACGATCTAATTTTATCAAGGTTAAAGAGCAAAAAAAGGTTACATAACTTAATCACATTGTGAGTGTTTTAATAAGCTTCTTCCTGATAACAATACTGCGGGTGCCAACTCGTGTGCCAAGTAGGACAGCTATGGTAAATATCTCTCCTGTGAAGCAATTTATTAGGACCATGTTCAGCAGAAGAGTTTCTAAAGGCTTTATTGAATAAATGAAGGAAATGGTTCGCGTGAACAATCAAATTGTGTGTCTTCTCCTTATCTAACTATATTATGGTTGTAGCACGATTGGATCGGCTCGATCAGGGTGGTACTACGCTCTCACAGAATACCAGCGTAAAATAGTAGAACAATGCTGCTGTGTTTCGTATGGTGAGTGTAAAGAATCGGATATACTTTTTACTGGCACCAAAGTATTCCGTATTAGTCCATAGGGGTAACAACACACCTGCATTTTGGTTCTTAATTGTGGATAAATGCTAGATGTCTATGGACCACAGCATCAACTTACCATCAGATGAACTGTGTGCTTGTTTGTCATCCCTATTCTATATTTAAAAAAAAACCCAAATCTTTCACCCAAAATTAACAAAAAAAGTGGAATTATTACCAAAAGGTTATTGGTGAAGTATTCCGGTGACGCTTCAGTAGCCCTGGGCTCATTCCAATAACTTTGAGCGACCGAGGTAGAGAGCCAGCGATCCGAACGAGCTTTTGGTTCTAAAATTACTTCTTTCAGGTACTGCATGAGCTTAGAACCTAATGGAATATTATTGAGCATTACAGAAACAGAAACTTTTTTTATTCAATAATGATTATGAATAATACTTATTTAAAGTCATTCTTATGTTTAATTACCACCAGTTCGTAAAAACCTCTGTCCTGTGAAGAACCAGCAAGAAACAGCAAGAAATAAAAACAGCTTGCAATCAATGTATTTATTTTTTTTTTATAGAAGAGGGGGCAAACGAGCATGTGGCTCACCTGATGTTAAGTGACTACCGCCGCCCATGATCAACCGCAACACCAGGGGAATTGCAGGTGCGTTGCCGGCCCTTTAGAAAGGAGTAAGCTCTTTTCTTGAAGGTCCCCCGGGTAGTATCGGTCCGGAAAAATCGCCGGTGGTTCCACAGAGAGGTTGTACGCGGAAGAAAACTCCTTTTGAAACGTACAGTGGTGGACCGTATCCAGATTTGTGGATGGTATCGGGACGTTTGCCGCGTAGTGCGTTCACGAAATTTGGCGGCTGGGATTAATCCGAACAATTCCTCAGAGCACTCCCCCGTGATAGATGCGATAAAATACGCAAAGAGATGCAACATCTCTTCGCAGCGCCAGTGAATCGAGCCGATCGGAAAGCACTCGGTCGTCGACGATTCGAGCCGCTCTGCACTGGATGCGGTCAAGTGGAAGGAGCTGGTACTGGGGAGCCAGCCCAGAGATGGGAACAGTATTCCATGAGCGGCCGAACCTGCGCTTTGTAAAGTTGCAGGCGGTGTGCCGGCATGAAATACTGTCCCGCTCTGCTGAGCACGCCAAGCTTTTTTAGAGGCCAATTTGGCCTTCCCTTCCAAGTGACCACGAAACTGCACGTCACTCGATATGTCGACGCCGAGGATTCCAATACTATGTATGTTGCACAATTAACAACACAAAACAATTTAGAAATAGCTTGATAGAAGAGAAGAGAAGAGAAAAAAATACTTCTTTTTATTACTTTGAAGTCGGCTTTTACTTTTTGATAAAACATAAAATGAATACTAAAACCCAGTGACCCTCCACAGCTTATTTTGTAGAAACATGCTTTAGTGAATCTTCATTTTTTGCTGATAAATGGTCGTGCAGTAACAATCGTCACCGTACTACAAATATAATTGAGAGTTGGCATGCCACTATAAACAAAAAAAGTAAGGAGTAAACCGAAAAGCATTGCTTATTTTTAGACTCTTCTTACAACGAGAAGATAATTATTAACAAACTTTATACTTAAAGGGATCAAATATTACGACAAAACAGAAATAAACTTGTGCTATTGACAAACCTATTGCTACAACAATTACCGAAAACAGATTCGGAAACATAAGTATTGAATTATGTATCGAGTCTTATATTTCTTGAATATTTTGATTTGACAATAAATAAGAACAAAAATCGTGATCTGTGATTATACTGACAATTATTGCCAAATGTTCTTGTGATATTATTGATTTATTACTTAGAATGCTTTAGTGATATTGTTGATTATATTTTATATTTTTGATTACATTTTTATACTTAGATAATAATAAGCCAAATGCTTTTGTGATATTGTTGATTATATTTTGATATTGTTGATCAAATTTTTATACTTAGCTAATAAACGAGCCAAGTGCTTTTGAGAATAATTATAATTTTTTTTTGATTTGGATTATTATCTGATGTAAAATGCTTTTGTATTTTTGAGATGTAGATTTATGAAATATATCTAAAATCATGATATAATAACATTTTGTTTTATTTTAAAGTTCAACTATAAAATATTAAACGTTTTTAAAAAGGATTTTTGTATTTGACTGTACAAATCAAAGTCAAATTTTTATGGTCGGGCGAATAAGATTTAATACAATGTCGTTTTATTTGAAGTCGTTTTTAAAATTTTGTTAAATTTTTTATTTAATACAATGTCGTTTTATTTGAAGTCGTTTTATTTGAAGTCGTTTTCAAAATTTTGTTAAATTTTTTTTCTGGCTGTACTTTGTACTAGCGTGCGAGTTGACAACAGAAATATTAGGTAAATTCGAAAAGTGCCAAGTCGCCGAGTTTTTGTCGGGCGAGATAACGAATAACCCTTGCCTATCATTAAAGATAATAATCATCAATGGCCATTTACTTTACCAATTTTTTTCGAATTCGAAAAAATCTTCCAATACTATAAATAATTATTATAATAATGTCCTCCAGACCAAATTTTAGTCACAGTGGCCAGCCTCAACAAAGACTAGCCATCGACACGGGGCAGGATTATAGTGCCCAAGTTTGCGCAAGCATAGATGCACTCTCTTTACCCTCACTCTCATAATCCGATGGGACGGTAAACCAACCCAACCGGAGACAGATTAGGCGCAGGACCAACGGCTTTACGTGCTTTCCGAGGCACGGGGTGAGACACCGCCAACTTCCTGCCTCCAGGAAGCTACTGAGAATTTCTTAATGGAAAAATCAATAATAGATTTTTGGTCCGTCCCGGGATTCGATCCCAGGACCAACGAGGCAGTCAAAACTATAATAACCATATATTCCAATACTATATATACTATATAAAATATAACTGCCAATAAAATATAGCCTCATGGTATTACAGTGAGGTTGTACGCAGAAAAAAAACTCCTTTTGAAACGTACAGTGGTGGACCGCCAAGTATCCAGATGGTGTGGATGGTATCGGGACGCTTGCCGCGTAGTGCGTTCACGAAATTTGGTGGCTGGGATTAATCCGATCCGAGAGCACTCTCCATGGTATATGCGAAAGAAAATGCAAAGAGATGCAACATCTCTTCGCAGTGCCAGTAAATCGAGCCGATAGGAAAGCACTCGGTCGTCAACGATTCGAGCCGCTCTGCGCTGGATGCGGTCAAGTGGAAGGAGCTGGCACTGGGGAGCCCCAGCCAAGGATGGGAACAGTATTCCATGTGCGGCCGAACCTGCGCCTTGTTAAGTTACAGACGGTGTGCCGGCATGAAATACTGTCCCGCTCTGCTGAGCACGCCAAGCTTTTTAGAGGCCAATTTGGCCTTCTCTTCCAAGTTACCACGAAACTGCACGTCACTCGATATGTCGACGCCGAGGATTCCGATACTGGCTGAGGCAACAAGGGGAGAGCCTTAAAACTGAGGAGATACGACAAAAGGGTTCTTTTTAGCAGTTAACACGCAAACTTGTGTCTTCTGGGGGTTAAACTGGACTAGATTTGGTTGCCTCCAATCCGAGACTCTGTTCAGCAAAGACTGGACTTCAGAAACAAGTTTGTCCCGGCACTCTGAGACGTTTTCCCGAGAAATATTGGCTCGGCCGGTGTAAAGTGCATCACCAGTGCTGTAATCTGCATAGCAATGAATATTACGGGTTCGGAACACATCATTAATATTCAGAAGAAACAGCGTTGGCGATAGCACGCAGCCTTTTTGAACACCAGCATTAATAGGCTTGCAATCGGAGCTTGCACCATCTACAACGACCTTGATGCTCCGATCTGCAAGAAAGCTGGTGATCCAATCAGACAATTTCTCGGAAAGCCCATAGGAAGGGAGCTTCAAAAGAAGCGCTTTGTGCCAAACCCGATCGAAGGCCTTCGCAATGTCCAAACTAACGGCCAATGCCTCCCCTTTGGACTCTACTGCCTCCGTCCATCTGTGAGTTAAGTAGACCAGAAGATCACCAGCTGACCGACCACGGCGAAAACCGTATTGGCGGTCACTAATCAGCTGGTGATCCTCAAGGTACCTCATGAGCTGGCAGTTTACAATGGACTCCATTGTTTTGGAGAACAAGGAGGTGATGGCGATAGGCCGGTAGATAGAGCAGTCGCCTTTTTTAGGTATCGCGTGGACGAAAGACGTCTTCCATGATTTTGGGACTACGCCTGGGGAGTAGGAGTAGCGGAAAAGACGCGTTAAAACCGGTGCCAACTCTTCACACGGAGCACACGTCCTCAGCACAATTGGGGGGATCCCGTCAGGCCCACTCGACTTGTTGATATCCAGGGAGAGGAGTTCTTTGCGAACCGAGTGCTGTGTGAACTGCACTTCCGGCATGGAGCACTCTCACCGCGGGATGGTCGGCGGCGTACGCCCCCCGTCATCGAGAGTCGACTTGGACGCAAAGAAAGAGCTTAGAAGATCGGCTTTCCCCTTTTCGGTATGGGCCAGTGAGTCGTCCTCCCTGTACAGAGATGGAAGAGATGGCTGACAGAAATTCCCCTGGACAGCCTTGGCGAGAGACCAGAATGCACAGGTTTCAGAAGGAAGGCGAACTAGTTTCTCGCCAATTCTGCCTATGTGCTCTGACTTTGCCTTGGCAATGACTCTTTTGAAGAACCTAGAGGCGGAATTGTACTTTTTGCATGACAACAAACTTCGTGTCCCGCGCCTACGTCACAGTGAACGAGTGAAGCCGGCCACAGTCGTGCATGTACCTGCTGTATTGCTATATGTTAGAGCATTCACTGACAAGATTGGCTATATCTTGAAGCGCGCTTCCATCATAACATACTTCAAGCCGCTGAAGAAGATTGGTCAGTTTTTACCATCAGTCAAGTGTAACGTCCCTCTGCAAGATGCAGTAGTGTACAAGCTTGATTGTGAATGTGGTCTCTCATACATAGGACAAACTAAAAGATCAATTAAAACCCGCGTTAAATAACATATAGCTGATGTGAAGAATTGACGCTCCGGGAAGTCTGCAGTCTGTGAACACGTACAGGATCGCCCCCGTCACTACATCAGATTTGATAGACCACAAATCCTCGCTAAAGAACACCGATTCCTTCCAAGGATGATTCTCGAGGCTATTGAAATCAAAAAACATCCTAATTTCAATAGAGAAGATGGCTGGGTGCTACCATCTGCTTGGGATCCTATAATAAATAAAATTAAATCTCAACCCAAGCATACAACTGCAAGACTTCAAGATACCATAAGTTCATACTGTGTAGATCGGAACAAAAGTTAAATTTTAATCTATGGTAACCGCGGTTAACTATGACATCTGGACGTTGAACATCTCAGTCCCCCCCGTGACCATGGGTGCTGTAAGGCGCTCGAAACGTCGGGTATTTAAAAAATTAAATATACGCGATAAATTCCGTAAAAACTAGTATTATTTCAATTGAATTATTTTTTAATATTTTTTTTATTTTTAAATTGTATGTAGGTTTATTACCTCTGCATTGGCATTGGGAGTAAGAGTATTATCGAAGACCCAGCTTTATCGATGGGCATGTCAGTTAGTAATGAATAACGTTTTTTATAAGTTTGAAACAAGTAATTTGTCTATTTTGAACACTTAAATCCCTTTAATATTGACCGAAAAAAAATACAGTATGCGATGTTAGAATATTCACTACCCCATATCATCCCGTGGGTGTCCTAAGAGGCGACAGAAGGATACCAATCAAGACAAGGGCAGCAACATATGCTAAAAATAAAAAAGTTGTTGCCAAATCGCGTGGCAATCTATGGTGATCGTCTATGTTTAGCAGCGGACTTTAATAGGCTCTAACGGTAACGGGAAAAAAATCTCTGGCACTAATGCCATACCTTTGTCATCTATACGTCCCTAAAAGTATCACCGGTTTGTTCGTTACATACTGTGTGTGCATGGCACTCATATCAAGCCTATGAGAGTTGATGCGAAAAGGCTTGTTATTATATTTTATTATATTAGTTAATAAACTTACTCGCTTCAGAAATGTATCGCGAATGACAAGCTATATTTGAGCAGGAAATTTCTTCAACTAAAGTGCCTTGTGAAGTTAGCTTGTTTACGAAATTCTCCACAATGTTAGCGGGGCCGGAGACTACACTAGAGCGGGGTCCATTGTGATAAGCTATATCCAGTTCTGGTGGGCATTCGTCCTTCATCTACAAAAAAACATATAAGAAATGTCGTCGTCGTAACGCATAAAACTGTGAAGTTAATTTTAATACTTACAAACGTTATTTTTAAAGTTCGTTGTATCTTAACAATTTAATATAGATGCTACGAAATTACCTTTTTATATCCCAAGCTTACTGCAGCCATTGATCCTTTTATTGTAGGTACCTCAGACAAAGCTAGACCACAATAATATGCTGACAAGATCGCTTGTTCAGCCGTCAAACAGTTGTCCGCATAAGCACAGCCTACCTCACCTATACCATGGCCTGTAATTCAATATATCATTCAATTGCATATCAATTCAGAATACCTTTCCATTTTAAAAATTATCATCCTTAATATACGCTTATTTTTTGGCTTAAAAAAGCTCTTGTTGACGTCAATATCTCCATCGGTATCAGTTAATAGGTGCTTAGAGCTATCATCGTCATTGCCGCTCTACACAAATGCTGAACATCGGCCTCCCCCAAGGAATGCCACAATGCATGGTTCCGAGCCTGCATCCATCGACTTCCTGGAAGACATTTACCAGGTTGTCACTCCACCTAGTGGGATACTAAACTCCGTGTAGTACGGCTACAACTCGAAAACCTTTCTTTACCCTATCGGTAATCGTTTCATTGCCACTTCAGCTTACCAATCCGATGAACTATGTCAGGTACTACAGTACTACTATTGAGATCCTCACGCCGAGAATCCGCGAGCATAGCCCTCTTCATAGCTCGCGAAAGGACCTTGAGCTTCCTCGTGCGGCGGCCGTGAGTGACCTTATAAGAATATCCACTATCCCATATCTTCCAGTGGCTGTTGTAAGTGGCGTCAGAGGAAAACTGAGGCAGAAGATGAGTAACAAAATTTTTCTGATAACCAATGAGCAACAATTAGCTAACGTCCGGCTAATTTTTAGTAGGGCCATTAAACGATAATTTAAAAATCACTTTACTATAATAATGAATGATCCTCTTACTTACCAACTAAATAATCTGGTTTTATACCAACAGTTTTCAGGACATCTGTCATACCAATTTGAACGGCAACAATACCAACGAAAGACTCAACAATGTTTTCAAAAGAATTGGTATTATGCTTCGAAATAATTTCAGACAGTTTTATTCCTTTGGATTCTAAGACCTTGTGGCATCTGAAAGCAATAAACGCGATTTTCATTAAGACGTAAAACACGTATCATACTATCGACGGTGGTGTGTTTTTACTAGTGTGTAGTACTGGGAGTAGTGTTGGTGGATTAGTGGGGTCGGGAATAGTGCACGCAATTGAAGGAGGATGGGAGTTGCTCCTAAGATTGTAATAATATAAAATGATGTGTCTTCCTAGAGACATCATTTTATATCATCCCATGGATCTTAGCTTATTAATTAACATGCAATTTTCATTTCCACAGTTTAAAAATAACCTCAAGTTACAAATGAACTTACAGTACATATGATGGAACGTGGCTACTGCAGTCTATGGACGCTTGCAGCCAATTTAAACAAAGAATGCTACACGCACTGGTTGTACAACCAAGTTTTCAGGTTTTGAGGTATACCTGACAAGAAGATGTGTCGTGATTTCCCGAACGCTCTCTAGCCGAGCTGAATCCGTCGATTGACCTCTCGGTCAAAGTTGATTTTATCTAGTCGGAACATTTTTGTCCCAGGTAAACATAATCATCAATAACTCCAAGTTTAGTGCCCCCAATTTCTACCCCTACATGTGTGACATGGACGTTACAAATGATTTTTGTTTTGTCCAGTTTCATCTTAAGACCTAGTTGGGAGACACTTTTAAAGTTGTTAAGCATAGTGTCTCGATCCTCAAGCGATTCTGCCATAAAGATTATATCGTTGGCAAATCCAAGGTGGCGAATCGATTTGAACCCGCATATTGACCTCATGGTCGAAGTTGGGCTAACCTAGTCGGAATATTTGTCCCAGGTTAACGTACTCGTCAACAACTTCGAGCTTAGCGCTGCCGATGGCTATCGGCATAGGTGTGAATTGGACATCACACATAATTTTGTTTCGTCCATGTTTATTATAACACCTATCCGATGGGAGACACTATTGAGGTCACTGAGCATATGAGCATAGTGCTTAGTTCTTCCAGCGATTCGATAAGGGCTATATCGTCGGCAAATTGAAGGTGAGTGGTGTACTCGCCTTTGGTGTTAGCATCGTGTTCTTTCCAGTCCAGTAGCTTGAAAACGTCTTCGAATGCTACGGCGAAAAGTTTCGGAGATATTATGTCACCCTATCTTACACCTCTATGCACTTGGATAGGTTTCGCACTCCGGTTCTGAACTCGGATAGCCATTGAAGCCCTACTGTACAAACACTTCAGCACTTCAATATACCGACTGTTAACTTGTCACCGCCGAAGGGAGTGAAGCACCGCCCAAAACTGAAGAAAACTGAATCAAAGATATTCTCATAGTCCATATACGTGAGACAAAGTGATAGATTGTATTATTTGGACTTCTGTACAATTTGCTAAAGGGTATATGTGACCTATGGTGTTAAAGCCTTTTCAGAAATCAGCTTATTCGGGAAGCTGGTAGTCAACGAGTATGGCTCTCGAAAAAAGGCACAGAGATAAGGCTCAGAAAGAAAATTGGTCTGTAGTTCTACAATAGTTGTCACCTTTCTTGAAGAACAAGACTTCTACGGAGTAGTGTCACCATAGAGGACGGTATTGAAGTTTCTAAAGGACTTTAAGTATCGGTTTTCCACCCGCTTTCAGAAGCTTAGCTGTAATTCCATCCTCGCCCGAGTAATTGCCGTTTTTAAGAAGACGGAGAGACATTCTAACCTCGCTAACACTTACATCCAGAATATCATTAGAATAGTGTCGGATAAGACTTGCTCTTGCATCGTTACTTACACTTGCGTGTGGCTCCAACAATTACGAGTACACTGCCCATAGAAACTCTCGACCTATCTCAGAATCTCAGATATCCTGGAAACGATGCTGTTACATTTAGTCTTCAGCTTTGACTGTTAGCTCTTTCTGGCAGAAAGATCTCTGGCAAAGAATTTGGAGCCCAGTTTCCGCTCGATTGCTTCTTTAATACGAGCTGTATTAAAGTTGCGTAAGTCCCGCCACATGCATTTGGAGATCTCTTTGTTCAGTTGCCTGTATGCTGTCAAATCTGCTGAAGACTGCAGCTTCACCTTCCGTTTAACGGCCATAGGATTAAGAGTGTGATCGGAGAGTTTTGTGTTCTCCTGCGGTGGGTCTTGCAGAACTTAGGTCAGATCGCATGGACAGTTTCCACAAGTTTGTCATTCATATCGTCCACTTCATTTCAGTCTTCTAGGCACTTAAAACAATTTTGTAACTCGAACTGAAAGTTTTGGTGGCTTTGGATTAGAGCAAAATTAGACTTCATTAGACGTGACATCTCCAACTTCACGTTTAGGTTCAGTGTGCCTCTCATCATTGTTAATTGATTGAGATCTCACTGAACAGTTGTAGTCTTATCGTCATAATGAAGTCATTCATTTTTGTCGAACCATCGGTTCTCGACCAGGTCCACTTTCTTTAGGGTCGCTTATGGAAGAGAGTTATGGAAAGAGTTCGTCATAAAGAGTCCCTCTTTCTCCATAAAGTCGACCAGATGCTAGCCCCTTGGGTTCCGGTGCCCTATTCTTTAGGGAAAGTTGCCCTACTTTCAGCTCATCATTCTCTCTTGTGCTTAGTTTTGTGTTGTAGTTTCCCATTAACACCGTATAGTGGATTTTGGAGGAATGCATGACTTTAGAGATATCCTCATAGATTTCCTCCACCTCCTGATAGGGATATGTCAAAGTTGGTGCACAAATCTGTATGGCGTTCAGTGAATACCGTTTGGTGATTCTGAGTATAAGTTACACAACCCTCATCGACACACTTCCAAATTTTAGACAGTTGTTAACGATAGACTTGTGAACAATAAATCTGACACTTCCTTAGGATAGATGGTTGTCTTCCCGGTGATAGAACTAGTTGCTCGAATCAAGAATCAACGTGTCCTTCCCCTAAAAAATTAAGTTAAGAAATTTGTGCTTGATCCAACAATGAAACATCGCTAAGAGAGTTAGATGTAATAAAGTGAAAAAGCTGCCATTTATCCCATATAAAAATAACTATTTATATGTATCATTTCTTAAAATTATAAGTCTTGAGTTTAATAATACATTTACTTCTAAAACACTCCCTTTAAACAGTCGCAAATCGTTTAATGAGTGGGTGACTGTAGAAATCCGTAGGAGTAGGTAAAAGTTACATGATCTTTACAATGAAAGATCATATGAACATAGTGTTTCGTTTAATGATTATGTAAAGAAATATTCCAAAATATTTAAGAAGTGTGTTCAACAGCCACGTCTTTATATTTAAAAAACAAAATTAAGAATGCCTCTTATAAAATTAAAATGACTTGGAATATAATCAATAATGAAACTGGTAAGATGAAACCACACAACTCATACTTTCAAATAAATTTTAACAATAATTTTAAAAAATCAGATGAAGCTGTTGAAACGGCTTCTGCACAATATATTGTACCAACATTTTGAGGTTGACTAAAAATTCACCTAATTCCGCACCTACTGCCGCCGAGTCGTTACTCAAATAAAATATAAATGTATGGAAAAAATTATTTGCATTTCATAAAATATTATCAGATGACATTGTAAAATGTTTCAAAACTATTGATATTAACAAAGCAGCAGATTTCCATTAAAGTTATTGCGTTTATAATAGATGAGATTGCACCCCTATTTGCTATTATTTTCAATACTAGTATCTAATTAGGTGTGTTTCCTGATTTAATGAAACATATTAAAGTACCTTTATTTAAATATGACAGTACATTAGACCCCACTTATTTTAGACCTATTTCTGTACAGCTAAAACCCAGTAAAATTTTTGAAAAAAATATTTTAGATCCATTGTTAAGTTTTTTTTAATGTAAAAAATTGCTCCATAAAATCAGTTTGGTTTTACCTCGGATCGCTCGCCAACAGATACCGGTGTTGAGCTTATGAAATATAGAATTTATTTAATCATATCTAAGAGAATGCAAATAGTTGTTATTAATGGGAGCAGTTCTTCCGGATCGGTAGTATCTATGGATATTCCTCAGGGCTCAATTCTTGGCCCCTTTCTGTTAGTGTCTTCCTTAGTTTACATTAAAGACTTACCTAACCTGGTAGGGAATAATCTTTGAAATAGTTTTACTTGCTGATGATATGTGCTTCGTTGATTTTCCAACTTAAAAGGCAATTAATTAAATATCGTGTATTAAGAGTAGTACACTAATTTAACGCTTTCGAATGGTAATAAAACGAAATTTATTAAATTAACCACACCTAAAGTTAAACAGTCGAAAACCGGTGCGCTTTTAAATGGAATGAAGCTGGACATTGTTGAATCCGCTGTTTTTTGGAATTACAGTCGACGCGAAGCTTCAATGGGGCCCTCATATATCTAAACTAGCTAGTAAACTTAGCCTCTGTAGCATATACTGTAAAAAAGACTAGAGGCTATACATGTGTTGAAACAGCTAGATTAGTTTATTTTCGTTATTTCCATAGCATGATGTCATATGAAATCTCACTCTGGGGTAATATGAGTGACATTGAAACTATTTTTGTTTTGTAGAAGAAAGCCGTTTAAACCTAGTTAACTTAGGCTTCCCAATATATTTACGAAATTTTAATGTATGTTCACAAAAACAAAAATAGTTATATTACAAATAGTCATGTACATTCTGTAAATACTAGGAGTAAGCACAGGTTAGTTATACCAATTATTCGACTCCAAAGAGTCAGTAATTCCTTCATGGGAATGTATACCCTTTTTTTTTATAGGATAGGGTGACAAACGAGCACACAGTCCACGTGATGGTAAGTGGTTGCTGCGGCCCATAGACATCTACATCTATCTTCCATTACAAATCAAAATGCAGATGCGTTGTCACCCGTGAGGACTGAGATGGAATGCCTCATTTCCAGTAAAAAGGGTCTCCGGTTCTCTACACTCACCATACGAAATACAGCAGCATTAAGCTACTATTTTACGCTGGTATTCTGTGAGAGCGTGGTCCTTCCCCGGTCGAGCCGACCCATTCGTGCTACAACTATACTACTAATATAA